AGCGCAGAAGCAGAGTGCAAAAGACAGTGTAGAAAATAGTTAGATATTTTCATATAATAAACCCCTTACAAATTTTATAAGCATTTAATAATATTTATTAACAATTAGAATTCAACAAAAATTCAAATTATTTTTTGTTGTATAATAGAGAGATATGGCAAAGTACAGTACTGCCGCAATTCCGCTATTAGCGCTGACGTTATTTTGACATTTGCGTTTGTCGAACTGCAGCATTTTTTATTCCCTTTAATAAAATTGAATTTAAAAATCTATTTTTATTTAAATTTCTTAGTATTGGCGCCATCTATTTGCTAGATGCCAAAGATGCCAAACTCCATTTGTTACAGCTCACTTGTATCGATATTTAATTTTTATTAGCGCATCTATTCGCTAGATGTCAAACTTCATTTATTACAGTTCATTTGTCTTGTTTATTAGCGCCATCTATTCGCTATATGCCAAACTTCTTTAATTGCATTTCACTTGTCTGTGGTGAAAAGGGTTTTTTGTTTTCGTTTCTGAAACTGAGAAGAAGGTATTTTTTCTGGGAATTTGGATCTGAGGAAGACGCGTGTGTCGGCGTCCGACAAATTTTCCAGTGAAAAGCACTCTGAATCCACTTTTCGATTTCCATTGCATGGGTGTCCGATTTGGAGATTTGAAAACCTTGTAAAGTATGCAATTCAGAGTATAGATCGTATTTGTTTGGTTTCTTCTTGGAATGATCACCGTAAGTTTATCCGCCATTTTATATAGCCCTATCTAACTAAATTCTATTTCAGTTATTTCCGTTTGTTATTTCGTTTATTTGAGTATTTAATTACTGGTTTGGATCGGCATATGGTTTGAATATATTTATGTAAAGCTGATTTTCAGACCGTAAGTTGTTTCTTTTATTGAGTATCTGTCCTGAGAACTATTTTTTATTTATAGAGTAACTACCACATGGTACTCAGTAACTACCACATGGTACTCAGTAACTACCACATGGTACTCAGTAACTACCACATGGTACTCCGTAATTACCACATGGTATGCAGTAATAATGTAATGCAGTGTAATGTAAGAGTGGACAACGGGGATCATGTCCGTGCCGATTATATTCTAGAAAACAGTGTTGCCGCAGTGGTACATTTGTACCAAATTTGATACTTTTAATTCTATTTGGTACAGTGGTACTACATTTTCAAATCCAGGATGATTTGGTACAATAATTATTTCCCACGCGCACCGAAAATGAATAGATATTTAATAATTATTGTCGTTGATATTGCATTAAACGCGCTTACCGATACCATTCGGAGACAATCCGCATTAATTAACGACGTATTATAAACGTTGTAATGTCTATAGCGTTGCCTATATTAAATAACCGGAAGAAAAAACTTGAAAATTTACTGTTTCTAACATGTTTCTATATTTGCGTTTTTTTTAATAAAATTTAAGTTTTCCAAGTATTGTGTGTAGTATTAGAATTACTTAGATTTCTTCAACCTATACATACTTATAATTGGGTTTTCTGAATTTCTATTTCATGTTTTTCGTCTCGATTTGTGTCTTTCTCCAGGAAGTTTTTTATGTAGAAATTTATGAAGAAATTCACAACGACAAAACCGGTTAAAGTCATTTGCAGATGTATTTTGTTGTGCTTTAAAAAATTGTACCAAAGTGGTACATTTTTAGTTTATAATGTGGTACGCGCTAAAAGTTGGGTGCGGCAACACTGCTAGAAAACGGTAGCTATAGGCCCGTAGACGAACGAAGTATTTATAGTGTGACCAACGGATCTGTAGCTACGGGGTATCGGCAGGGGAACGCAGTTGTAAACAAAACACGCCCAATTTCATTCATAAAATAGGCATGGGCGTACGGTGTTATATGAAAATAATGTGTATCATAAATATAATACTCAGATTAATAATTTTTTCAAAAACTTTATGCTGTTTGAATCGTTACTGTTGAGTTAGCAGATAAACACTAAAAGCTTTTATTAAAGCTCCCTTAAATATTTTGAATCATTTTATTATTGTGTTGTTAATATAATAGAAGAAATAATTACAGCTGGGGTTGGAACCTTTGGTGTTACACAGCAAATAAAACACTAAATCAGTACAATACACCAAAACACTTTTAATTTTACACTGGACGCACGTTTCGCTAACCATGTCTGCCATCAGCAGATGATCAAGACTGAGTCTTGAGGTATATTTATTTATATATCTGTACTAACTATATTTTTTTTTTCTATAATACATAATTTTAGATATAACTATTTCCAGCAAAAAAAAATCTTGAAAATAGTTAACTTTGGAAGCGCAAACAAAACATAATTTTACTCATCAGTAGATCTGATATTGCCTATTACACCAGATATGGTATCGCTCCGCCAGCAGTTTTTAAAGGTTAGGTCATTGTCTACCCATATGTTACATCCAAATAGATAATACTTGGCTACTTATATTTTCTAATTTCGCGTATATATATTTATATCTCTCTCTGCAATATAATGGGCCGCTCCATTAATATTTATCTGTTATTTTAACATTTACGCCAAAAAAATTCATTTGATTTTAATAACCCCCTAAGCGTTTCCCTGCAAAGGAAAATTCGATTCTTCTAGCAATTTTTGCAAAAAGCTTTCTAATTGTGGGGACGAGTTTGAATTCGAGATAAAATCTATTTATCAAATTCCTGACCACTTCGAAAAAGTCGTTGAGCTTTTCGACAGCAGTCTCACGTGGTCGTTTCTTTCCAGAGAGGATATCATTTTATCGGGGTTAGTTTTCAGCCTTTTTTTATCTTCTGTGTGAATTTTTTTATAGCCGATACGCTAACTCCGGTATAAAAGCTCAAGGTATCCCCTCAAGTTTACGTTTAAGCGGCAACTCAAGCGAACTCTCTGTAGCTTCTTCATCGCAAACCCTATTATGAACACAAGGAAATACACCAAATGAGATTTCATCCACGTTATTATTAACTTACCTATATAAATTAGCTATTATTTCTCTTGTCTGACTATGTAGCGTCTTACCCTTAACAAATTTATTCGTTTTAAAACACAAATATACGATCAAACTTGATATTAATAATTAAAACTACGAACGAAAAACATTATAACAAGATAACAAAACAATAAAACACAACTTAACTATCAAATATACTAAAAATATAGGAATAAAGTTTAGGATAACCGGTATAAAATAATGAAATAAAGTAATAATGATCAAAAAAATGACACCGCCACTGGATATTTCAATAGTATTCAATATTCCTACTCTTTTCAGAAGAGACCGTGAAGTTGGGGATAAAGCAAGCGAATAGGAAAGGCGTAAAAAGCCATGGCAACCGCGTGGTAACAAATCCTGTGACGTACTCGCCAATCATGTTCGATGAATAGGCGGCCATGCGCGGCGATGCCGGTTTGCCAATGATATCGTTGAAAATCTTCAACTTTCATAATAGGCAGATTATACAGAATGAAAGAAATAAGTTATTAAATAAAACATATCGAACAATATGAACTACGTTAAAATTCCTTAGTAATATACGTCAGAATATATGCTAAACACATTATATATAATAAAAATATATTAAATTTATAGTTCATGTCTGGCAATTTTGCAATTTTATAGATAAACGTGGCAATATCGATTTTTTTTTCTCGCATTCCTTCCGTAGCTACAGATCCGCTGGTCAAACAGTAGCCGCGGCGGCGGCGATTTATGTTTGCCGCAACGGGGCCGGACCGTAGCGGTTCCGAGGAAAAATGTACACCGACATTTCTTGGACGGGGCACGGACGGGTTCCGGCGAAACTCGGACCGTGCTCGGCTTAGCATGAATGTATAAGTATAAATAACATTTGACAATGTTTGGCCGTGCCTTCACCGTCGCACGGCCCAGGCCCGTCACGGTGTACCGTGAATCATCCTTTATGCCAGCATTTTTAAAAATTTAGCCGTAACCTAGTTTTCTGATTTTGTTAATCAAGAGAGCATCTATATTCATAATTTTTCTTTATTTTTGTAAAAAAATAGCTATTAAATATATCAGGAGTTTTAATTAGTGTCTAAAAGAAAGTGTGTCTAAAAAAGAGGACAAATTAACCTAATCAAGAGTTATCTCAATTTTTATAAGAATATAGTATCTCAACTGATAAAATAACGTTCCGAAAAAAAACCTAAATACCGGCATGCGGTAACGTTAATAGCGCACAAACGCTTATTATGACACTTTAACTGTCATAATTGCCAAAATAACGCCTCCATTAATACCGTATATCGTTGTCATATCTCTCTAAATAGTACAACAGTCGCTAGTAATAAGAAATTCTGTTTGTTCAATATTTCTTATACAAAAAATATGTCAATAACAAAATCTTTTTAGTTTTAATTTATACTTTATTGTTATTCATAATATATTTACGGTTGCTTAATATATTTTTATAGAAAATGTATATTTCTGGTTGTCAGTTTGACCATTATGCCAACAGAAAAGATGCAGCGGTTCTCAAAATGTAAGCAAAAAATCATTTTTTTAATTTTCAAATTAAAATAACTCGACTATTTTGGATTTATTTGAAAAACGGCGAATGAGAAAACTGTTTCTTTTATCGAGATGTACCAGCCCTGAAAATATTAGCACTTATTTAAGACTCACTCTGTATAATAATATGCCCAGGAGTGAATTTCATTAAAAAAGTATTTCTTGTACATGTGTTCAGTACCTATTTTCTATAAATTAATTTTTTATTCTTTTAACACACAAAAACCGCTACCCTAGACCGGTTTTTAGCCAGATGTGTATACAGGGTGTCCCAGAAATAAGTGCAAGTATTTCAAGGGGTGGTAGATCTCGATAAAAGAAACATATTTTCTCTTTATCGTTTTTCAAATAAGTCCAAAATAACGGAGTTATTTTACTTTGAAAATTTCAAAAAAAAATGATTTTTTGCTCATATTTTGATAACCACTGGATCTTTCCTTGATTTTGTTTCTTGTAAATCGTCCCTTAGCTAACAACACCGCTCAAGTCGAAAATTGGCGGTTTTTACATTTTAATGCCATTGGATGAAGCTGCGCATTGCGCGTCGAACCATTGGTCTCATGAAATAGATTTCGGCCAATCAGAAGCCGTAATTCAAAAAATAGTGACAGCGCTCAAGTCGGTTGGCGTCGCAACACCGCACAAGTCGTTAGTCTGTCATAATTTTCGCGGAAAATACTTCGCGCTCTGTGTTTTTTCTATTTTTAAGTGAATTTTATCGCTGGAACGTTCTTGCAAGTAGTTTTAATAGAAGATTAAGAGGTAAGCTATAGAATAAAGTAATGTTTATTGATGTACGCGTATTAATTTAGAAATAAATGATCAAATAATATCCTTACTTACTTAGGCGGTGTTTACTAACAATTTTTTCTTAACTTAGGCGGTGTTTCAAAATTTGTTATTTTTTACCTGACTGCCAAAGAGGAGGGTAATGTGTTTAGGATTCCACAAATATGGGTATCAAATGAAAGCTTGTGATGTGTGTTACACAAAATTGAAAGTTTTATCAAAATCGGTTCAGTAGTTTTTAGATTCTTGGTCGGGGGTTTTACGACTTTCTGTCGACTCAGTTAATAATAATATAAGCTTGTTATGAAATCCTATGATTGAAATGGTGTTTCAAATTTGTTATTTTTTTAGGAAACTCAATAATTGAAAGGCGCTATGGATGGAGAAGAAATTGATTCCTGGAGTGATCTGGGTTCAGGTGATGAATGGTTATGTGCCCAACTACAAAAATCAGGACTGATGTCAAAACATAAACGGCGTAAACAAAGTTGCAAAGAAGATAATAAAATAATTAAACTAGGTAAGTACTATGGGTTTGTTTTGAGGTCCGAATTTTATTTTTGTTATTTATGTTTTTAATAATTCCTATTATTTATTTTAGATGTGAATCAAAAAGATCCTCCTAAAAATGAAACTATTGCAACACCAATAAATGATCAAAACTTCGGGGAGTCCATAAAAGGTATTATAAGTAGCCAGGATAATGTAAACGCAATATTTGACCAGAACATAGACTTGGATAATATTGAAAACATTGACATTCACAATCTACAAGTTGTAGAAAAAGTTGGTAATGACTTCTTTGATCTGCAACATATACCACCCGAATTTGCTACAGTGACCATCGAGTATCCTCAGCCTTCTGCATTGAATGTAGCCAATATTTCGGTAGAAAGTGAGAACGTTGTACAAGAACTAGGAAATATTCATATCGAAGCTTTACCTACGAATACTCAAGACCCAGTTTCGGATATAGTAATTAACACAGATATAATAGATGAAAATAAAACAACTCAATATATACCACCCGAATTTGCTACAGTGACCATCAACAATCCTCAGTCTTTTGCATTGAATGTAGCCAATATCTCGGTAGAAAATGAGAACGTTGTACAAGAACTAGAAAATATTCACATTGAAGCTTTCCCTACTCAAGACCCAGTTTCGGATATAGTAATTAACACAGATACAGATATAATAGATGAAAATAAAACAACCCAAACCAATATACAGCAATCCAGTGTCTCTGCTACTCCATCATGTTCTTCAAAAGTGGTCATACTCAGCAATATTCCTTATCACGGGGATTTGTTAAGTAATAAAAAAAGACAGAACAAGGCGTCAAAAGATCCAAATAAATATAAACGCAATATAAATAAAGAATTACGGATGAAAGGTGAAAGTTATTTAGGATACAGAAGAGACAGAAAAGCAAAGACTAATGAAAAATTTAAAGTGAAACAAGACGTATTTAAGCCTGCAAGATCCATGAAACCACCCTGCACTTCTGCGTTTTGCAAGAAATCCAAACTCAGGTCATGTGACAACATAAACGAGGAACAGCGAAAATATTTGTTTGACAATTTCTGGAAGAACATGAACTGGGAGCAGCGAAGATCATTTATAACTTCTCACGTTAACAAAGTATCAAAGAAAGTTACAAAAAATCCAGAATCATCCAAAAGAACTGATAGTCGAACTTACGTTTTGACGATTGATAATGTACGTCACCAAGTCTGCAAAAAAATGTTCTTGGCCACTCTTGGAATTAAAGATTGGTTTATAAGATATTGGTTGACAAAAACCGATTGTGCTATGCCTCCCGATGTGTCTTCTTCAACCAGTAATCGCAGAAATCCAGAGAAAATTGAAGACCACAAACATGTTGAAAAGTTTTTAGGAGATCTTCCAAAGATGCCGTCACATTACTGTCGTGCTAAAACATCACGAGAATATTTAGAACCAATTTTCTCGAACATGACACAGCTCTATCACGCATATAAAGATAATTGTGAATTAGAGGGTAGAGAATGCCTTGGGCGTAAATTATTTGACAAATTATTTTTGAAACTCAATTTGAGCCTATTCCACCCAAAGAAGGATCAATGCGACGTTTGTTGCAGTCATAAAACTGGAAACATTACTGATGAAGAATACGCTCAACATGTTCTGAAGAAAGATCGAGCCAGGAAAGAAAAAGATACTGACAAAGGAATTGCACAGTCCGGAGCTTGTCACGTATTCACACAGGATGTTGAATCGGTAAAATTGGCCCCGTATCTTCAAGCTAGTGCAATTTATTATAAAACTAAATTATGCGTCCATAATTTTACATTATACAATATAGCAACTAAGGAAGTAATGTGTTATTGGTTCGATGAGTCAAATAGTACGCTTGAAGCCTCTGTTTTTGCTTCATGCTTAGTAGACCATCTAGAGAAGGTTTTGAGTCTGAAATTATTGCCTGTGGTTTTATATTCCGATGGTTGTTGTGCTCAAAATCGCAATGTTACCTTAAGCAATGCTTTATTACGTTTAGCGATTGAAAAAAATATTGTGATTACTCAAAAGTACCTGGAAAAAGGCCATACTCACATGGAATGTGATTCGGTACATAGTGCCATAGAGTGTAAATTAAAAGGTAAAGAAATTTACCTTCCACAACAATACATGGCTATAAGTAAAACTGCTAGGAGTGATCCTATGCCTTACCAAGCTTGTTATTTAGATTATACCTTTTTCACAGACTTTTCGAAAGAATTGATTTATAAATCTATAAGGCCTGGTAAAAAAGTAGGTGACCCTGTCGTCACAGATTTACGTATGCTAGAATACAGACCAAATGGCACAATTTGGTATAAAGTTAGTTTTGATGACGAGCTTCACCCGTTACCACATCGTCCCACGGCAATTAACAGCATTAAACAAATAAATAGCTTGCAAAAATTGTACGCAGCTAGAATACCAATTACAAAGCGGAAGTATCAAGATTTGCAAGACCTAAAAAGTGTATTGCCATCTAGTTGCCATTCTTTTTATGATGACCTTCCGCACAGCAATCACTAAAGACTGCAACTAAACTAAAGACTAGAGATTTTGAGTTTTCTTTATTATTTTATTAATAGATACTATTATATATTATTTCTTTGGAGTTTATTAAAGACTAAGTAAACTAAGATTAGTATTTGAAACATTTACCTATTAAAAGATAAAAATATTAGGTACTTCATTTAAGTTCTAACTAGAGGTTTGTGTATTACCAAATTACTTTAAGCAATTGATCTCAACATGTGATTCTTAAGATTTAAGTAAAGATACCTATCTATGTTATAAAGAATGTTAATTTTCTTTTCTTAATAAAAGCTTTTATTTGCAAATCATCTTTTAATACCTTCTTAATCCCTAACATTTTCACAAACAACACCGCCTAAATCTAATAAAATATCAGTCAACACCGCTCAAGTCATAAAATAAAAGTTAAAATAAAGTAAATCGTCAAAATAAGTATAAATAATTATTTCTTAATCGTTAACTAGGATGTATTATGAAGCAATAGAAAAAAAACACAGATTTTTTAAAATAGACAGTTTTTTTCGTCTCCTGTAAAGTTGGCAAAAACGACTTAAGCGGTGTTGTAAGCTAAGGGACGAAATTTAGTCTACTACTTATGTTGCCATATTATCAAAAAATTATGTTTTTTAACTAAAAACTAAAAAAAATTCCAACAAATTTTTCAAAAAATTCCGATTTTTCAGTTTTTTTTTTCGCGAAAAAACCTCATAGGCGTGTTTCTGGGGTTGAACTATACTATAGTTAAAATACTTGCACCTATTCTGGGATACCTTGTATAGGGCAGGTTATTAATATAAATTTACAAAATAATTTTATTCTGAAGTATACGTCCACCACAATAATAAGTAGATAACCCAATAAAAAGCATATACAGTATGTCTCCAGATTATTTTTACAAGGGGAAATACTTTTTAATTATTGACATTTTGAGAAAAATGCATTCTTCATGAAAACATTTTTGCTTGTTCTAAAATAGTTAATCTCGTTTATACTTCTTCCAAATGCTCATACTGTTTTAGAGAAAATTAAAAAATAACACAAAAGTTCTAAAAATCGGTAATATAATTTAGATAGGTGGTTATTATTAATTTCCATTAACGTGATATTTTTACTGTTGTTAAAGTATCACATTTTCCAATAATTATTATCACCCTTTCCGTAGAAATGAATAAAATAAATGTTGTACTTCTTTAATATTTTAAAACAGCAAAAAATATGACGTTAATTAAAATTCTATTAACAACAATCTATCAAAGAATAAAATCTAAATGATATTACCATAGACACAGCTTATGATTTTTAGGACCTGTTCTTTTAAATATCCTTTAAAACAGTATGGAAATTTAAAAAAGTTTAAACGGAATTAACCATTTTAGAACTAGCAAAAATTTTTATGAAGAATGCATTTTTCTCACAATCTCAACAATAAGAAAGTTTTTTTCTCTTGTAAAGACAATCAGTAGACATACTGTATAGTAAAGTAAATATTTTCTTACTCATTTTAGTATTGGGTATTCTAAATAAATAATTCATCTTTGAGACTCTAACTTTGGAATGTTAAAAACTCTTTTTAGAGGTGGTCAAACAATATAAATATTATTTTATGTTCTTTATTACATTTAAATATAATAAACTTTCTCTTAAGGACTGAATGATTTATATGTTATGGTAGCTTTCATTGATAAATAAAGTAAATATAATTAATAGTCTAGCGACAATAAAACAGCATTTGAAAGCAGTGTTTGTATCTTCAAAATTTACAGAATTGAGTTGAGTCATTGAAAAAACCTCGGAAAAAACATATTTTTATTTAGCGATGTTAATGATACTTCTCACAAAAGATAGGGGGCTAACTTAAATGGGGCTAACTCAAATTACTAACTTTTTTTTAATTAACATAACAGCTTTATTTTTAAGTCGAATGTACGAAACATGTACGGGAATAGTGACAATGTAGACTTTATTAATTCAAAATGGAGTGCAATAATTTTAAAATCCGTAGTAATCTTGGGATTAATTTTATTTATTTCAGAAGTGATGATAATTTGTAATTTACGATTGGAACATCAGTCTCAGTTTTTGCTTACCACTCACCTAACATTTACGGTAAGTAGTTAGTAGTTTCATCCACTATTCTCTGTCTGCTCCATCTTTATTTGAGGTTTTCCTCTCCTACTGTCACATTCCCAGGGCCTTTATTTTATGAGGCATTTGTTCTATCGATATCCCTTTGTCTGATATTGTGACTTCATTTTAATTTTGCAACTGCAATAACTTTCTCTTCTGACATCCTAAGTAATTCTTCTTCTTAAGATTCCTGCGTAGGCGTTCATCTTTTTCTTCCTCATCAGGTGGTTCTATTAATTGCAGTGACTTGGAGAGCTTGGAAGTCCTGTATGCCTGTCCAATGACCAATATTTCTCAGCCAGGATAGCTTCCTTCGGCCTATTCTCCTTTTGCCCCCCTCTATTTTACCCTGGCGAATCAGAAGCTGAAAGTGATAGCGTTCTCCACGTAGTATGTGTCCCAAATAGGCTATTTTCCTCTTCTTTATGATTTCGAATAGTTCACGTTGTCTAGACCAGCTTTTCTGAGAATGTCTTCATTCCTCACACAGTTGACCCAGGGTACTCTTAGCATTCCTCGTAGGGTCCACATTTCGAAGGCTTCAATTCGATTTATTGTTGCTACCTTCAGTGTCCGTGCTTCCACACCATATACAAAACAGACCAGACATTTCACCATTATGTATCTAAGGCCGAAGTTCAAGTTCCTATCTGTAAGAAACCTTTGAAAATTCAGAAAAGTAGAGCTTGCTTCTTTGATCCTGCATTTGATCTCCTGATCTGGATCCCACTTTTCCTTAACCATGCATCCCATTGTCTGCCAATATCACTGTGTCATCTGCTTATCGGATATTATTAATTGTAATGCTATTTATTTTTAAACCAATGGAACTGTCATGACATCCCTTATTTTTGTGTTAATTCTGACTCTTTGATTCCTTTTTTTTATATACCAGCCTTCATGTAGTATTTGTATTTCTATTGGTCTTTGTCCTTTTGTTACAAGAGTTACAAATTTCTGTTTCGGAAATTACTACAACTTTTGATTTTTAAATGGTACCCTCAGTATTTTCTTACTTTATTTAATAGAAAATATCACTCTGAATAGAATGGCATATCATATATCAACTTTTGACATTTTCGCATATGGTTTGGTTTGGTTTGGTTGTTTATATGAAATTATAAAAAAAAGCTTTTTCCAAATATATATAATGAGCCACCCTCCTTCCATTTGAAAAAATTGAAACATGATTAAAAATACGATTTAAGAATTTTTTAATTGACCAGGACAAGACACTGGAAACATTAGACGATCAAATCTATTTTTCCAAGGCTCTTTGATTAAGAATTAGTGTTTTTAACATAGCCATGGCACTCTAGATTGAGTTTTAAAATACGATTTTTTCTTAAGCGAAAATGTCAAAAGATGAGATATTCTGAAAAATAACAAGGGTGTCATTTAAAAATCAAAAGTTGTAGTCATTTCCGGTGAAACAGAAAACAATTGAATACGTCAATCAATCTTAATTTATGTCATATACTAGCATACCAAATCTAGTTTTTTAAACTGAAAAATTAAAAAAGTTATAGAGGTGAGCCACTTTTGAGACGCACCCGGTATAGACTTTGTGTTCATACTCAAGTAATAAGCTCATTTTGTAAGTACGTTATAGTCTTTGATATCTTAATAATGTATAATTTATCCATAAATGTTTGGTACAATAATTAAACATACCATAAATTTTCAAAACTATTGAAATATTTCATAAGATCTTTAAGAACTTTATTGTAGTGTAGTCTTGAACTACCAAAGGTAAAATGTTTCAGGTTGGCTTGATATCATCATGCTTTCTGCTAATGAAACCACGCCTTCTGAAGTTATTGCAGCTGTTGTTTTCATAAATCTTTACGAATTGGATTTATCTACATGACTTTTACAAACATAATATGGCATTTTAAATGTAAGTTCAGAATACAGGTCCAAAAGAAAAGTTAACTAAAAAATGTTTTAAAGAAATTATTAAAATTTACATTTTTTTTTAATTTTTTTAGTAGGACACAAATGTAGCGCCTTAATTTGGTATGTGCAGATAAAATGCCCATCCATATGCTGGCTAGCGTTCAGCTGTCATGTAATTTGGTCTGAAGTAGGCCTAGTGATATATTTTGCAGTGACTAAAATATCCTCATACCTTATCATGACTTTCATATTCCCAGTGAGTAAAATACGTATATTAAGTAATACCTATAATTACACACACCGGAAAAATCTAGGGATATTACAATTTTATTCAGCCATAGTCAGTAATTTTATTATTTGCATTTCTGATATAATAAAATTAAAATAAACAAATGGTTTACAGGACGTATTGGAAATAAAAATGCGAAATTTACCGAATTTTTCAAATTTATCTTTTTTTTTATTGAACTCAAAAAAATACTCACATTTTTTTTAATTCTAAACTGTGAATTAAAAAAAAGAAAGATAAAACCATTTTTACTTAATAAAGGGTATGGCCTCCTCTACTGTTTATTACAGCCCTACATCGTCTCTCCCTACATCAACCTCTCCTGATCAGGTTGTCGATCTCTTCTTGAGGTACAGCCTGCCACGCTGCATTCACGGCCCGAACCAGATCCCTACGAGTTTCACAAGGTATACCCATTCTCAAAATTCTGCTTTGGACCGCGTCCCATACGTGCTCGATGGGGTTGAGGTCAGGAGATTGTGCCGGCCAGGGTAAGATGTTTAATTGATGAGCATTGATAAAGTCACTTACCACTCTGACTGTATGAGGCCGTGCATTGCCATGCATGAGAATGAAGTTTCTCCCAAAATCATTGGCATATGGTAACACGACAGGCTCAAGAATTAAATCACTATATGTGATTCCTGTTAGAAACCCTTCAAGAAAAACCAGATCGGTTTTTCGGCCTAAATGGACTCCTCCCCAGACCATAACTGTTCCACCTTGATAAGGGTGCACTTCCTGAACATTATCCAACCGAATAAGATTTCCCAATTCTCTCCATACCCTAAGCCTTCTCGAATCCGGATGAATTCCAAAGCGTGACTCATCCGTGAAGAGAACATTGGTCCATTGTTCATTCGACCACTGAACATGATCTTGAGCCCACAAATATCATACCTCTCGATTTCCTCTCGTTAAGGTTTGAGCTCTCCAGGGGCGTCTGCTTCTTAAGTTGACCTCTCTTAATCTATTGCGAACAGTGTCAGGACTAACGGTTACATTATGTGTTTCCTGGAGAATTAAACTAAGCTCTGGTGCTGTAAGAGTTGGTCGGCGTCGAGGATTTAATTGTAAAAATGATCTTGCTGAGGGGTAGTAATGTGATGTCGCCTTGTGTGCCTTTCAGAAACATCACTACTTTTACGGTAGCGTGCAATTAATCGCGATATTACACTTTGCGTTGTATTTAATGCTCTAGCTACGTCGATTTGGCGCATTCCAGCTTCAAGCATAACCATGGCCCTTAGCATTTC